TAAGGTCCTCCCCCACCTCATCCTATGAAGATTCCTCTCCTTCATTTTGCAAAAAGCCATTTCAAAAAGATGGAAGTCTCTCATTTGCACAATTTCTTATCCACAGCAAAAAAGCAACTAACCCATTAACCTCCCCCTTAAGGGCTCCAATGTCTTCTTTTCATAAGGCAACCGATTTTCCACCATTATGCTGCCTCAAAGTCAAGCTCCATCTTCCTGACCAGCCACACCTCCTTGTTCTACACCCTCCGCCTCAATAAGAAGGGGCTTCCCACCTCACAAAAAATGGCAACCAAATGCCATCAAAACAATTATGTTAATTGTCCATATGATGGTATGGCCTTTATAGATGCTTGATGACGGCTCTAAAGCCTACAACTCTTCTATTTAAGTGTAGGCTCCTTTTCTATTTTTTTTTTTTTTTGCTTGTAGGATTTGTATATAACCCCTTTATCATAAAAAAATAATCGCCTAAATTCAAACTTGTTTGAGATGACTTTTCTTCTATTCCTTCATAAATCAAGAGCAAGAATCTTTAACTTTGCTACTAGAAACCTTCAACCATTTCAAAAAATAAGAAGAAAAATTGAGATCCCTCTTGTCATTGACACTCTTATAACTAAGAATATCCCCTCTATCTTTACAAGAGTATCTGTCCAAGTGCAAAATGGCTTCATTCTTTGCGTTGAAGTTTAAATCTCCCTAAACGGCAACACTTAAACCCTCAAACTTTATATAATTAGATTATTAGACCTTGCTCTAGTTGCTAATCTTTGTCATGCCCTCAACACTTATGCCATGCAAGCCCTTCCAATGAGCCTACCGCATCTCCCCTAGCTAGATGGTCATAGTTGAAGTTTCCCTTCAAGCATTTGTGTATATTCTTGCCCCTAAGAGTCTTGACTCCCTTTCTTCCCCCAATTTGTCTCATCCATCAATAAACATTTTTATCTTTCTCATGTCTATTTGCTTCTTTAGAAGTTGCTAGTGAACTTTAGAATTTAAAGATATTTTAGGCTTTAAACTCTACAACCCAAATTACTTATTTGGGGCTGCTTATCACTGCACACAGACTGCAACTAGCTAATAATTTTCAACCTCTAGTTTACAAACTCAAGCGCTCTCTTAATGACTAAAAAAAACAAACTATTTATAAATGATCGAGATGTTCAATTTATTATATAGTTTTTTATCTCTAAAAGTTATATAAAAAAATATTTATAGTCTGTGCTCTAAAGTTATTATTCATGGGAACTTTTCTACTAAAAGATAAATATGATCACTTAAAGTTTATTTGTATATAAAGGATAAAAAGTGGTCTGGTGTTGTCTTCTCTTCACAACATTTCTATAGGCTATTGTGCAAACCTCATTTGAAATACTTAAAATAGAGACAAATTGTCATCTAGCTAGTTCCTGAATTATATAATTCAATCTTCGAGCTTTGTAATAGAAATGTCTCCTTGTAGAAAAATCTTTATATAATTGCTAATACTTTGAGGCATCAACTTAGCTTCTTTATTCTTGATGGCTCTTCTTTCTTGTTGCTATGGGAATTTTGGATTAAGGAAATATGATCAAAAAAATTTTTAAGGGAGAAGTGTTCTTGGTCTTACTAGTCCTTAATTTTAATTACCTTAACAAACTAATACTTCCGTTTGGATAATTCATACTACTCTAATACATTCTCAATGCATCTCCAATCTAATTTTAAGACTTCCCATTCATGTATTTTATGAGGGGCTACTCTG